ATTATTATGAAAATTACGTATTTATGAAGTAGCAATTTCTAAGTGGCCCATGGTTTACTCATCAGTGCAGGAGTACTTTGCACTAAGGAAGGTCATATTGAGTAGAGCAACAACAACTACTTCTCAGCAAGCTACTTAACTGGCAGGCTAATTAATGACCTCAAGGACTGGCTGAAAGGAAGATGACATGATTCTTTTACCATTGCTGCAAGTCTTTCAGGTCAAAAAAGACACATGTAACCTTTTCAGTGGGAGAAGAATAATTTCATTAACAAGATTAGTATGGAACATACTTTGTACAGAAAAAAATCTAGTCTTGTGTCAAATTTGGCACTAGATAGCGTAAAAAATGTAATGAATTCTTAAAGAGTGTAAGCTGCAACTTTTCAGAAGAAAATATATGAACTGCTAAAAACTCGTTTTTGCTGTCCATGTTCTCCTGTATTAAGCTTAACAATCACAAAACTGTCATGACAATTTAAAAAAAATTTTGCCCTCTTCGATAGTAAGAGTTCAGTTTCAGAAAACATCATGAAAACTGAAGTTCATAGATAGCTTCTCAACTGTAGTATTTACTTAAAAATACAGAGTTGTTAGAGCTGCGTCTCCTCAAACCAGGGGGAAAGTAGCTGCCTCCACATATTGTCAGACAAGTTTACTAAGCTGTTTGATACTAAAGAGAATAGAGAAGAAACCCCCATACTAATGTGCTCAGATCCTGCAATAGGACTTACCTACAAATGAAGCATTCTTGAATTTGAAATAAACACTGCATGCAAAGACATTTTTCAAAAGTTTAAAATTAAACACAATTGAAAGTGTATTTCTCTTACATAAAAAAATGTCCTTTTGTACAGTGCTTTTAGTTTTCGATATTATTTTAATTACACTTTTCAACATATAAAAATAAACCTAAGGTACAGGCTGAAAACTTTTTTTCCATTTACATATTAGCAAACAAAATCAAGTTTTAGATTCTCTTTAGGTAATAACACTTAATGATATCTATAAATTTCAACTGTCCACACTCCAGTCTCTGGTGAGAAAACTACATCTCTCTGAACAAAGCGCCTACTGATTTACATTATTTCAGCCGTTTACAGATCTCAGCATTTGTGTCACTAAGTCCAATTCTCACTTCTAAAATTATGATAACACCAAAGGCAATAATTGATTGCTATAAAACTGCAAGTACCACAAAGTGGCAGGGGGACGCACAACATGCCCCAGTTTGCAAGTCATTGTTCAGAATTCCTATCTTTAAGATTATTTGTTTTACAGTTATAATGCAATTTTCACACTAACATTTACAAAATTCAAGATGATTTTTGCCTGCTTTTTTTTTCCACTAAGTGAATGGCTAGCAAAATTAAAATACATGAACTCTAGCCTTGTTTTGTTACAAACTAACAGAAAGACAGTGATGCAGAGATGCTTCAGACCTAAAGCAGAAGATACACACATCACTATGGCATTACTGCTTGCAACAGTCATACATGTGAATGAAAAAAACAACACAGGAATAAGGACAGGTATGGAGTATACAACAATTTGTATCATACAAAGCAGCCTTTCCTTATTATCTCTTCCCTTAGCCCAAAAGAAAATCACAGAAATCCCTAAATCTACTATTACAAAATACCAGTACAAGCTAAGGGCAACACAGAGAAGCTACCAATGTAACAAACAGATTTGCAGCGTTTCAAAGTAATTTCAAAGTATTTCAAAGTATTGCCTTAGATGTAACTGGGCCAGAGAACGCTACCAAGCAATGCAAAGCAGACTACAGACTACAGAATTTACCTTCTTTGCAGCAGAGTAAACACACTCCAGTGGCCACAGCTCATTTCTGAATCCAAGCTCTGCATATGTTGCTGCTGTTAGCCAGCTAATGTAAAGCTGGTTCAGATATATCTATCTGAAATTTCCATCAAAAAAATTAGCAGGTGACTAATGAGTAGGCAGAACCCACACCTCACTGATTTCTCAGGTATTCTTCAGATGTTTCTAGTTTCGAACTGAAGTGGTTTTTTCCTTTCTTAGTTCTAATTCTGAAATATGAAAAACAACATTCTTTAACGTTGCCTACTACTATCAGTGTTTGCAAACAAAATTTCATCCTTCACACCTATGCAAACCTATTGACTTCACTGAATTTATCTAACTCACAGCCACCCTTATTTTGATCTTGGAATCCTGTTTCATCCACCAGCAGCTGTCTTCTGCTACCACCTTCTTTCAAAATCCAAAGAAAATTCCTATCTGTTATCCAGAAACACTGCTGTGAAATAACTGTGGTCACTAATGGAATCTTACACGTATGTGCTTTACATGGTCTTAGCAAAATGGCACCATATCATCACTTTTCTGAGCAATTACGAGTCACAACATTTTCAAATAAAGGCTGACTCAAATTAAATTACATTTAAAACAATACAGCTATCATGAACGACACTGTTCTCAAAACCTCCACTCAATTTGATCTCACTCCTGTTGGGAGAAAGCAGGAACTTCATTACTGTGCTACACTACCAGTTTAAAAATGAGCTAACCTCTGCAGAGACAGGCATTTTACAGAATAACAGTTCTCCAATACTGGCTTTTCAGGAAGAGGGGAACTGTAAAACACATAATACAAATAGACAGAACTTAACTACCTCACTGCAGAGTATTGACAAAGCAAACCCAGAAAATACAGCATTTGTAAGAAAATATGAATTGAGGTGGGGAGGGAATGCATGTGTTTGGCGGTTGGTTGTTTTGGCGAGGGGGTTGCCTTTTTTTAAAAAAAACCTCTTTTCCTAAGGAAACCATTAATTCACATACAATATAACAATGTGCTGCATACGGACTTTCACCTGTGGTAAGTTAGCTAGTAAGGCTGCCATCCTAACTATTAATTTCTAAAGCCATGTTTCTTAGCTTACTGTACACAATCCTTTACATATTGGATTCCATTACATATGTAACTGATATGTAATAGGGCTATGCAATTTTAGGATAACAAATTCAAGAAATCAAACTATTCAACTGAAACATTATACACTGCAAGAATTCTAATGCCTCCTAAAGGAGAAACTTAGCTTTTCAAAGATATTATAAACAATACACGTATATTTTCACTGGTCTCCACATTTCAAATCAAAGAAGCTGCATGAATAAGACCAGATCAACTACAAATATTCCTTTAATAAGTACGTACCAGCAGAAACTTCCCTCTAAAATACTTAATTTTATTAGTGAAATGGTACCAAAGATAACAAGTATACAAACAATCTCTTTGCTCTATGCTACTTACACATCATAAATAAGACAGCTGTTGTTGCAAGACACAATCCTTCACAGTCTTCCTGTAAGCATACAGATTTGTCATTCATTTATCAGAATAAGCTGTTTATCAGCCAACAGCATGTGGCTTAAACATCACAAAAATGACTGTCTATACTTTACATGGTAAAGCATTTTCTATAGTCTTAAATGTACACAGTGGCAAGAACATTAAAACCTATCGAAAATGAAGAATGATTAAGCAGCTTCACAATCAAACTGGGTTTCATTACCTTAGGAATTGGGCAAATTTTTCGTTCCCTGTAATATGCTTTCTCTTTTTTTTCCCCCAGAAGAACTAACTATGCAAAGGAAAAGAAAAACAAATTGAAAGCAAATCGCTAATATGTTATTAAGTTTTATTTTTAACTGAAAGAAGTAACTCTTCCCATGAGGTAAGGCAATTAAGTCATTTGATTGTATTAAGTTGTATTAAAAATAACAGACTCCATTTCAGGTACAAGTAAGTTTTAAAGGTATGACTCTTAAGAAATCTCATGTAACTGATTAAATTAGAACACAAGTCATGTTTTACCATGACAAAAATACTTGCTTTGTCATTCTCTTCTTAAATGCTTTCTTCCCCAAAGAATGAAAAAAGAATCTCTACCATATAACTCCTGTGTAAATTAGAACTTTTTTCCCCAAATTATATATCCCCTCTTCTTTGCATACAATTCCTTTTATATAACCCAACAGGTATCAGAGAAGATGATGGAGAGGTAACAATTAAGGCCATCCAAATGTAGATTAAAAGTCTAAAGGGTTGTCTTTGATGCATGTGATCAGAAAATGCTTTGTATTCAGCTACTACTTTTGTACAGTGGTGGTCCCCAAATTGCATCTTTGCTTTCATCTATAAATCTCTTCTAAAAATAAAAAATAAAAGTAAAAATGGAGCTTTAGTACTTTAACAAGTGAATCAAACAACTGCTCTGACAAATCACTTGCATTCTTGTCTACAGTATGGTGGTGGCAAAACAGCAATAATGTAAGATTTAGCTGAAAATGAGTAATAGCACATATACATTTCTAGAAAATACCACATTTTAAGAAGGCACTAAAGCTTCTGCTTGTGCTCCCATATTTTTTTAAACAAATAAGAAAAATTTATTTTCATAATGGCACCTGTACTATTTGCAGCTGAACAGACACACTGCAGTACGGCTCAAAACAAAGCTGTAACTTCTAATAATATCGTACAGATGTGCTCACTTCTGGAAGGATAAAAGAAAACAGCAAAACAAAACAACCCCAAAATAATCCGCTAAGCTAACCTATTATCTATAACATGGCAGTGTTCCATTTAGGAACATAAAAGTAGCATGCATTGTTCAAATACTTCAAAAGAAATATTAATTTTAGGGATATTAGTAAGAAATTCTTTTAAATAATAAAAACCAAGAATCTCAAGCAGTAAGCAAATTAAAAACATACTACTCAGTGGGTATTTAACATACGAACCGTAAAACTGTGTTTATGTTTAAAAACCCTTTCCCTACAGCTGTCATTTACAACAAAAGAAACTGTATATTTATGCACCATTTCCAAGCACATAGAACAGTACACATTGAAGTTTTGTGGATTTTTTTTAACCCACAAGGTAAAACAATACAAAATTCATCAACAAGCAGTATTTTAAACAACCTTCAATGCATATACTCAGCTTTTTTGGGTAGTACAGGTTTGCATCTTTCAGTTTCTACTTATTTGTAACAGCTTACGGCAAACTTAACATAAATCATTTCAGAAATAAGTACAGCCATCATGGAAATGCATGGATTTTCAGAGATGAATAGTTCTGATGGCATCTGCCTTTTCATGGTATAACTACTGGTCCGTGCTCTCTTGCTGCACAGCAAGAAGACAACAAAGCTATCACAAGAATTGGAAGAGCTACTAGTACTATCAACACGTTCAGGTTGATTGCTTTGACATTTTCTTCCTCATTCTGGGAAATAAAAAGCTTTGGATTTCATTCCTTAGTTGAATCAGAAGTCCATTCTTTGCTTAAACCTCTTCCATTTTAATTGAGAGGTTTTCCTCATTGGGTTGACAGTTTCCATTCTGTTGTAGTTTGACTTCGTCTGTCCTTTGTGTATCTCTGTTGTCTACTTCCTTGTCAGTTTCTGAATTCTGATCCTCTTTAGTGTGATCTTTGTCCTACCAAAGATAAAATTATTTTACAAAAAAATCATATTCTTAGCATTATAGGATATGACTTCCAACCAACTCTTGGTTTTTCATTGGCTCAATTTTTGCATGCCTATCTTGTCTCAGCAGTTTTTAGAATAGAGGCGTCAGCTTCTTTTCCTTTTTTTAAAAAAAAACTTTCTGTTCCATTGGCTGAAGTTAGGCACTCATAACAACCCGTCATCCAAGAAATCATTGCCATGAAGTGATCTGTCTTTATCATCAATATCCAGAAAAAACAGAATAAGCAGCATCATGGAACCTATGAGAAACAGCTCCAGAAATTAAGATTTCACCATATTTTCTAAATAAAATACGATTCAATTTTTTTTCCTTTTTTTTTCAGGTATCTGATGCATTTTAAGAGAGTTCTTGGGTAAAATAATTACTTAAGCATGTGGACAGAGTCACCTAAACCAGCTGTTTTATAACAGTTGAATAATTCTGAGTACAACAGACTACTCTTCAAAGGCATACTGCTTTTCAAATTCTAAGATTAAACAATCTGAAAATGTTTCTTTTCTTAAGCACATCACCTTCTATTTTGCAGGGGAAAATCCCATACCACTCCTCCCCAACACTTCAACTTTACTCCTGCAGAGTCCAATATGCAGACCAGGACCAAAGCAACCAAGGAGCAGCTGAAC